CTTCTAAAAGTGACAGAGCATATCTTTTAAAATTTCATTTCTAGAATACCTCATAACATAAGCTGGATTTAGTGATACCCTGACCACAAGAAATTTATCCTAAGGGAAAAAAAAAGTAGCTATGTAATTTTTAAGCTCATTCATTAGGTAAACTTATCAGTGAGAATGTTCACCAACTTTTGCACACACTGGCTTTAAAAAATAAAATGTTGAAAAGTTATTACAAAATTACAACTGGAGAAAAATTCTGCTGATGCTGCTGAAACTAAATCATTTGTTTTTGTGCATAGGCTTCACAACCTACAGGGCTATGTAATAAACATGTTGCCTTTCTAACTCCAAAATAATCTAATGATAAAGTCATATGTGAACCTGAGTTAATAATTATTAAGCAGGAATTTTTGACTTGTGAATCTGATTGTTGCCCACTTAATGCAAGATAATCAGGACTCTTAACAAAATTGCCCCAAAATGGGGCAGGGAGGAGGGATGAAGAAACAAAAAACCTGTGAACCCATTAGTAAAACTATGCAGGTTTTTTTTGTCTCTTATGGCAAGTCCTAGAAAACATCAATTTTGTAGAGTTGGAAATATAAACCAAACAACCTCAATTTCTCATTTCATTGTGGAACAGCTACTATGTATTTGGCTAAACTATTCTTGATCGGTTTTACAACTATTACTTAAGGTTAATCACAGATATTTATTGGAGGGGATAATGAGTTCCAAAGATTATTCCTCATTGTGTAAAGCAAGATATTACTCTTAATGTTTTAAAACTACATATTCAAACTTAAGTAAAATGATCCATAATGCTAGTACTCAAACATTTAGTCACCGTGATATTATATACTATGAAAGATGTGACACAATATAAAGTCAGTTAATGGGAAGTGCTGTAAAAGAAAAATAAAACAACCTAAGTGGGTAGTGAATGACATAGGTTGTTACTTTAGAAAGGATGGCAGGTAAGGCATGTTTGCTGTCTCAACCATACTAAAGTGTCTCTTTTCAGGTAGAAAGGAAGCAAATTCCAGTGTCCACTGCAGTTAACCTTTACATTTCCCAACCTTCACCACATATTACATGCAAATATAAACACAATTTAAAAACAATGGAACATTATTGTACAGAAACCAAAATATGGCACATTTTGTTTTTATTTAAAATAGAGTTTTATATGCTTCACAGAAACAAGTGCAAGGAGTGCTTAATATCTTTGCCAATTTACAAAACAACACATTTTCTGAAAATGCATACATAAAAAATATAACATTTAGGCTGATAAGTACACATCTGGAGGCAGTTGCAAGTTATGCAATAATATTTAAAAAGCTTTGAAATAAATATTTTTATGACTTGCTGTTGGTATAGTTAAACATTTGGTATGAAGGCTATCACTGAGTTCTTAATAAATTCTAAAATACTATTATTTCTAAATAAATATATATATTTACTTTACTATAAAATGCACATTGCCTCAGACTAGAAATTAATGAAATGTCTAAATATCATTCATTTCTCTTTGGAATTTGGAATTCTCTTCAACTTCAACAATCAAATTGCTACTACTAAAATGACCATCTCACATTATTTTTATTATTTCTCGATTCTCATTTTAAAACTTAATTTATTTTTCATATAACATATATATGTATGTTTGTGTTCATTTGAGCCTGTCTATTGCAAGGTAATACCTTTTTACATACTTAGAATATTAGCAATATCAGCTAGCTTACAATTAGTCTTTACAACGGTGATTCTTTTCACAGTAGTTCAAGAGTTCAAGGCATATTTTGCAATGTCAAATTCCAGTGGTTTTGACATTTGTAATATGTTCTTAGGTATAAGAAAAGTCACACTACTGAAAGAAAAGTATAATTAATATTAATACTTTGAAAGTCAATCCAAATTCCTTTTTTGAGATTTGAATCTAATTTTCTGTTTTTAGGACATTTTAAAACCTGAAACAGATTAAGTTTGAATAATTTTCTCTAGTCTAGGATCAGAAAGGTATAAGGATTTGCCACTAGTCATTGTGGAAATGAACTAGAATTTAACATTTTGGCTCAAAAACCCTCATTTTATATAAAAATGGAAAAAAGTTGTATTTTTGAAAAATATTTAATTACTAGTATTTAGTCTATTGGAGGAGTAGAAATATTGGTAAATCTCATTGTAGGCTTGCATTAGTTAGAACTTAGACATATGATTGGTTCTTTACAGGCCAAGTCAATAAATAGGTTTGTACTTGGAATTAAAACTCTGTAGATAACAAAAATAGAGTCCTTGTGCCTTGCTGCAGATTATCAGGTTTAAAAAATCTATCAGTAGGATAATATGATCGCATTTAATGCTACAATGCAAGGTAAAAATCTTGCAGTTAAAACTCCTAGATTGGAGAGAAAACCTTGTAGGGTAACATGAAACAGTGATCATAAAATATAGTCCCATCTGAAAATATTAAATTCTAGGATGAGATAGAGTTTATATTTTCCTAAATGTTATATTAATTACCACTGAATTAAGAAGTATCCTGACAGTTTTAAACTGAGGGATTTTAAAATCGGAATTATTATCCAGGTTCAATATAATACTATCGTCTTAATAATAATGCCCTAATGGCTTAATTTTAAAAGATGGCCAAAATAACAGAGCAATTAATGAAACATGATTCTGCATAGTGATTGTGGATAAAAATTTAGCAAGCACATTATGGGACATTTCTCTCACACTCTCTGTCCGTTACCATTTTTTGCATGGAATTAAGCATTAAGGTAAAAGTAAATTTTCCTTATATGTTAAAATGTGGGAGCAGAGGGTGAGGGGACTTAATGGATTGTGGTGGAGGATTATAGGTGCTTTGTAATGAGTGTTTGTGTTGTGGTAACATATATCTGAAGAGGTGTAAACCTAGATCCCTAAAACATACTCGGTGTTGTAAACCAATGTTGCCTCAGTAAAAATAACTCAATTAAAAAGATGTAAGAAAAGAATATAAAGTATCATGTGCTCCCCCCAATTTTTTTAAAAAGGTATAATTAGACCGATATCCAAAATTAAAAGAAAGTTATCTCTGTCATACAAATATCTTCTTTATAGTGCCAAATAAAAGAAATACTGGCGAAGGCATGAAGTGAAATCTTTCACATGATAATATGGGAAAATCTTGTCATGAAGTTCATTGCATAGCAATCTGTACAGGGGCTAGAACTCTAGTGATGGAAAAATAGGAATCATGGAGTAATTTGGAGTTGATGAAATCTGGCAATGTACTATAAGATGTACTATAGGAAAATGAATGCCAAAGTTTAAATGATAGTTATTATTTAAATTAGGGACTGAAGGTATTTTTGGAAAACAGTGAGTGTTTTTAAAGATGGTGGGAAAATAGTAAAACATAAAAATTAGTGGGAAAAAAGTCAAATATCTGAAAATTTGAATTAAAACAGTGAAAAATTATAGAAATACTATTTATATTAACATTTTAGTGAAATTTTAAAATTCCAGTGGACTTTTTCTATTTAGATAAAGCCCTTAGGACTAGAGGGATCAGTCTTCACTAAATAGTGCATAGAGTCCATCTAGGTATTAACTATGGAGAGAAGTAGAAAAAGTCATTGTCAAACACAGAAATAGTATGTTTCACAACAGAAAAAATATTTAGAACACATTCAAAAACCACAATAACACCATTTAAAAATATTAATTCTTAAACATTTCTAAGTAACTTAAAATGTTGGATTTGTAAATTTATTTAAAGAAATGATCATTAAAGATGTCACCTTTACTCATTTGCTGCCTTTACCTTGTCAGTTTCCTGATGGGAAATAAAATATCCATACTTTAAATTTATTTTAAAAAACCAGATTTCTATCTTTATTTTAAATAATCAAAAACTGTCACTTGCCAGTTTTAAATTGAACTTTGTATAATAGCAAACTTGGGCTCCCTGCTTTCAGATGATTTGCTAAGTAGGTTCCTGGTACTTTTACTTAAAATCTTAAAATAGCCCTGAGATTTCGTTGCCCCAGTAAGTCACATGGTGGCAAATCCAGCACAGTAGAAGTAGTCTTGTATCTTTTGCTTAATAATTTTACTATAATATAAATATTAAAAATAATATATTATTATAGAACCTCTAACCTAAGGAATCTATTGTAGATTTTCACTTTAAAATAAAAACTGATTTTGAATTTTTCAGACATTGCAATCAAGTTACTATTTTCATACAATCATGGAAATTTAAAATTCAAAAGTTAATTGAAAGTATAAAGATGAAAAGCAAGTGCTACGCCTAAAATAGTGCACGACACAGTCATGTTTCACTTAACTTTCAAGTCAGAACATAAATTAAGAATTCTAGATGTGACATGCCAAATATTTTAGACATAGAAGAAAGCACACAAAAGGATCTACACACTTAAAGGCAACAAGTTCATGCTGAAATATTAACAACAAATGTCGTTTTTACCAAGCTTTGTATCATACTCAAAGCTGAAATATTTGAAAGTAGTAAAGAACACTGACACTTTTTGAACCTAAGAAGGATATGACTTTTTTGCTTATAACACAATTCAGAAAAAATAAATATTACACATGATCTCCATCAAAAACAAGTAACAAAGTTTAACAGCTTAGGTATATACAGTAAATTTGCCTAATGCTCTAAGCTTTATCCCATTTTTGTCAGTATTTTCTATTTATAATCAAGTTAAGATTTAAGAAAGAATTAGAACTTAAAAAAATCTTTTCCTAGTTATTTTTGTCAATCTACCTTCTTTCTTAAAAAATATTTGTGGTAGTTGAAATACAACACTTCAATTAGTAATTAAAGTTAACTGATACAAAATAAGAACAAGACCTCAAAATGACAACTGTATGGAATTTTCTGGAATGGAAGTTGAATCAATAAAAATATGGAATTATACTTGGACACCCTCAAACAAACTATAAAACATAATGACAAGGAAAATTGAGATGTGAAAATATGCTCTCTTAACAATTAAATAAGTATATTTACCCCACATAAGTGAAAAAAAACAGGAAATGTTATTTCTAACTATTTGAAAGTATAGTACAACCATAATAAATAAATAATTTCATTCTCAAATACGCAAAAATTGTCTGTGAGATATCACAGTTACAAACACAAGCAAGGTTACTCCATTCTCTTAAGCTCTTTAAAATTGTTTCACATATGCACTTTTAAAAACTGATTATATAATTTAGTTTGGAAAAGTCAAATAAAGATACTTCTAAATGTGTTGCAAATTGAAAGCAATTTTCAAAACCCACTGTCATATAGAATTCAAGACATCCTACTTTGTATTATATCCATTTGTCAATTTACTTTCTTCCCCTTACACCTACATCCTTGTTTCCATTCCCAAATTAGACTTAAAACTCCCTGAGTACAGAACCTATCCATTTTTTAAATTTCCCTATTGTACCCAATATCATGAAAGGAAGATATGGGGTGCTCCATGATTATTTAGTGAATGGATAACGGCATAGATGAGAAAGCATATGAAAACCATAGATGGCAGATTTTTTTGCCTCTAATGTTTTAACCCAGTTAAATGAAGAGTGGTTCAGTAACATACTTATATAACAAAATAAAGAACAATCACTAGATTGTGTTCTACAGGAACATGCATAGGCCTATCCTTCACAGTTCTATTTCCTAAGTTGTGCTTTGTCAAACAGTAAATGTGGGGATAGTAAAAGGTTACCCCTTACTCTTAATAAAAGGGTTCCATGATGCAGTAATTGAGGAAACCATTTTAATGAAGTTCAAGTAACATTTTTAACTATAAGACTCTTCAGAGCACACGATACACTAATGTGCAGTATCATTTTCTAAGAATATTGAAGAAAACTTTTTATCTTGGATCATCTCAGCAGAAGCGTGTTCTAAGGAGCAGATTTAGGCAACACTGCTTTAGAACAATACCAAGTTAAATCTTAACCAAAAGGAATTATTGATTTGAAGGAAATATTTAATGTTCCATGTATTCAGAACTTACCGCTTGTCTTTATAGGAAGTAGAATAAAGGCAAAATTATCATGAGCCTTCTCTATCCACTTGCTCATTTTGAAAGGGTAGGGAATATCTGTTTAGTTACTAATACCCTCAAAGGACTTGGTTATTGTACTTTTCAAATTTCTTAATTTTTTTCAAAATATCTCCTGGTTTCCTTTTCCTTTTCTGCTTCTAAATGCACATGTACAACAGTGATAGGAGTCTCTGAAATGCATCTGAAAGGATTATCTGAGAATGGACCTTTATATCTGGTTAATCTCTGGAACTCTTCAGAAATTATTGATACTCATCTGACAAACAGGATGATTATCAAATTTCTATTAGGAAAATGTCAACAGTTACTGCCCTGAGAGCTCATGCAGGTGCATTATGATTCTCAAAAATAACTGAACTTGTCTTTTGCTTGACTAAACCACAAATACCATCATGAAAAAAAAAAAAAAAGAAAAACAACACAGTTCTGTATAGGTAGAAAACTACTATCGAAATTAAAGAGACAGCAGAAAGCTAGTTAACTCTACAGTGTGGATCATCACTAGATTTGGACTTTGTGCCAGTTCGATCACTAGTTGTGTGACTTTGGAACATTCCTCAGTGTTTTAAGATGTCAGGTGTCTCATTTACAAATGAGAGGAAATAACATTTTCAACTGGATATCCAACTATTTGCCGCAGGGGCTGTTATGGTGTTGGATTATGAAGAGAGGGAGACCAAGTAATTGGACTCTGGCTTCTATCTTCCAATCAAGCAGCTCCACTTTAACACATTTTATATATTAAATTTCAGAGCAATATTTAATTTTTAAATACCCTGCTTAGTTAAAAAAATAGAGAAAATGATAGATCATATAAAGTTTTGGTTAGATAACATACTCTCATATTTTTAATGAATGTCTTCATCTCAGAAAAAAAATGCTTTTACATTTTCTTCCCCTTCATTCATGTGCTCTTGATTCAAGTAAAATAAAACCTTAATGACTTTTATTTTTACATAGCTTATTTTACACTTTTGTAATATCTTATTAAATAAAAAGGTGGGTTGATATTTTGCTTTTCAAAATAAAGACAACATGGAAATTGGATGAAATCAACTTCCGCCCATGCTTGACTTGAGAGATTTTTTTCATGCTGCCTTTGGACACTTAAATACTGTACTATAATATCTTTGAGGTAGGAAAAAAACAAAAAAGCAAAAACATTCACATAAAGAGGGAAAATGGGAAAGAAAACTGTGAGAGGTTGCTTTTTAACACAGTTGTCATCATTAGGCTTTGCAGTCTTCTTTGACACAAAGTTGAGAAATAGTCTTCTTAATGCGAAGGGCAGTTAGGCGGGCTGCCCCATTGGCATACCAACACTCACGCATTATTCTCCCCATAATTCGGAGTGCCTTTAAGAGAGAAAGATATACAAGACTTAGCTACTTACACAAACTAGAACAGAAGAGGAAAAATAACCACAAACCTAGTAACTGATGCTAAGCTCTGGTGAAGAGGAAATATTAATTGTTGTATCCATATAATGGAATAGTACACAGATATGAAAATGAACAGATTATAGCTAAATAGAATATGAAAGTGAAAAAAATGAAGAATACTTTGAATATGGTATCTCATTTAATTTCATTTGCTTAATATCATTGCATTATATGCAGTACAAAATTTATGAATTCCCTAATGGGCAAAAGCCATGACTAAATCCAGTTTGTGTATCCATTCCTGATGGATGGGTAGATGGATGGAAAAGAGACAAGTAGGCTGGTAGAAAGGGGGGAAAAGAGAAAAAGAAAAATGAAAAAAATTAAGAATATCTACAATTTGTTTCAATAACCCAAGTTTCACAAATACACAAAAGTAAGCAACATATTTTTCGGGTATAGGGTGAGTGTGTGTGTGTGTGTATACACACATATATAGCATATTTAGGTACATACTAAATACATCCAAATGTTAAAGAAAAGCAAGACAATAATTATAGTAATATCATCTCAGAGAGATAAGGAATCTTAGAAGTTTCTAGAAATATTCTAGTTTTTAAATTTTGTAATGAATCTACTGGCTTTCCTTTCATACTTTAAACTTTACATACGTATTCATTTATATGCATGAAATTAATATCAAAGCTTAATTTAATTTCAATTTGGTTATAAATGTCTCAAATTCTGTTTCTAAAATAAATATCTAGGTAAGATATCTACACAATATAGAAATACCAGACACAAAATAATTTTGTGACTGGTTCTGGTCTGTGAACCATGAGTGGAGTGATTTGTGTCACTTGGAGCCAAAGCAGTAAAGAATCAGTGTGTAACCATCCATCTCCTTTATTCTTCTAACCTGGATACCTGGAAACTGTGTGTTGAGATAGCAGTATCCCAAGATCAAGGTCACCAGGATTACTAAGTCACTACAGGGAACCCAGATGTCATAGAAATTCTGTGACCTGCAGGGGATTTTGCATAACAAGAAATAAAGTCTTGTTGTGTAAAGTCACTGGGATTTCAGGATTTGACACTGTCACATAAACTAGCATTATGTTTTCATACAACTAAAGGAAGTAAAATCCTTCTGAAGATTGAAACAAAGACATATAACAACAGACAGAACTGGACGCCTAGGTTAAGACAGAAGAATTTAGTGGTCTCTGAAAATTTTCCCTGATACCTACCTCAAAATTAAAATGGGAAAAATATACATAAGAATATAGTCTTACTTCACAACTTTGCCACTGGTTTGGGATGCTTGGTCGAAATTTCTGGTCACACACAACCTTCTTCATTTCCTCTATTGAGGGATCTGAAGGCACCATGTCATAATAAGGCAACTGGTACTCCTCAACAATTCCTATAAGAAATTTGCATAATAAATTTCCCTGTGTGAATAATAAACAAAGATGCTTATTTTAAAATAATACCAATTAAGTCCTCTAGGCACAAGTGCCACCCTGGGAAACTGGAAAGTCAAGTTTTAAAAAAATGTTTGACTGTAAAACCCAGGATATAAGTTTAAAACACTCATTTGAATAGTTATTACATAAGTTTGTAAATTTATGTATTATAATAAAAATTCTATATAATTTTGGTAATTTTTATGTAGGTAAGGTCTACCTACCTACCTACAAAATAGAGAAATACTAAGACATAATTACATAATTATTTATATAATACATGCTTTTATATAATCATATATAACAATTACATATACATGCATTGCATTTTCAGTTTTAATCATTATATAAACAAAACTTTATATTAAAAATTATTTAAATTTTTACTTAAATGCTATTATAAATTCAAGAGTAATGCCTAATTTGCTTAATTGTGAAATGTATAGCACTGTCCCATTGCTCTGTGAATGAAATATATATATATCTCCATCAAATAATTTTTTCAAAACAAACCGACTTTCTCTTTTTAAAAAATTATTAGACAGTCTTTAAAAGCCAATCATAGGGTCTCCCCGGTGGCGCAGCGGTTGAGCGCTGGGTTGCGAAGCTGCCCGCTGCCTCTGCGGCACCGGTTCGATCCCCGGCTGCTCCCCGGCCACCAGAGGAGGGTCCCGCATGGCGCGCAGAATCTCCTGCCGCCGGCTGCTCCCCTCAGCAGTGTACTTCGGTCCTTCTGCTATTCCTTCTGCTATTCAAGTATTCCTTGGATCTGAGGAATACTATACCTGAGACTGTTCCAGAAAAGCAGTCAAAGGTAAAGATGTACAGTTCAATATGAAAGTTAATATTTAAAATGTCAAATACAAATAAAGGACAAAAGTTCAAATAAAATTCTTAATTATCAGATTATTACTTAAATTTAAAAATTTCCTTATGAAAGTCATCTGAATTAACGACAGTCCTTTTAACTGAAAATATTTAAGATGTATAATATTATTGGAAAGCAAGCTGCACATCATGTTAATTAAATTACTCTTTTGAGAGTTAAAGGAAATTTAAGGGCAAAAACCTATAAGCAAATTAGTATGAATTTTTTTTTTTAAGATTTATTTTTATTTATTTATACAAGCACTGGGTACAGTCAGAAGCGCGGGAGGGTGAGAGAATTCACCAGAGCCAGAGCGGGAACAGAGCAGGCAGAAGGACCGAAGTACACTGCTGAGGGGAGCAGCGGGTGGCAGGAGAGGTCTGCGTGCCATGCGGGACCCTCCTCCGGTGGCCGGGGAGCAGCCGGGGATTGAACTGGCGCTGCAGAGGCTGCGGGCAGCTTCGCAACCCAGTGCTCAACCACTGAGCCACCGGGGAGGCCCAAATCAGTATGAAATTTAAAAAATTAAGTAAGATAATTTTAAAATAAATGAAGTTTAAAAAATAACAAAAACGTGTTTGAATCGTTCTATTTTGTAAGCACAATCCTAAGCCCTTGACATGGTTTAGCTAATTATTCCTCAAAACCACTGAGCGAAGAATTTACCATATTATCCCTATTTTACAGAACAAGGAAACTAAGGCAAAGAATGCCATAAATTTGCTCAAGATATAACAATCCTCATACAAACTCAAATTTAATAAGAAATATTTCAAGTGCTGTACAAAGAATCAATATGGAAATCAGAATTATCAGAACTGTCACCACCACCTGAGCAGTAATCTCAATGTAATAGCTCAATGTAATAGCAGTAATCTCAATGTAATTATATGCAGGACCTGGAAATTTTACCCCTGGAATATATCCCCTAAATGTATTCTCTTAAATATTAGGAAGTATTCTCACAGTATTTAGAAATGATTTGATATAGTGCTTAAAAAAAGAGAAAATCATATTTTATATTCAGAACATTAAGGAAAGGCATTACTTCCAAAATCTTACCTCCAACTGAACACCTTCTGGCTATTTCCCAGTAAACAAGACCAACAGAATAGATGTCAGCACGTTTGAAAGACTCAAAGATATTCACATTCATTGTATCATCAAGCATTTCAGGAGCCATATACCTTCAAAAACATGCACATTTCAGATCTGTGTATGACTTTCATAGCAGTCCAGTAAAACAAAATCTTAAATCCTGATACAAAATATAAGATAGCTTACATCAATTCTGCAGGTAGATCTGAGCCACTACAATGGAATAAAATTAATTATTATAGCTGTAGACTCTACACAGTGTTAAAACATCTATGCCAGGAGTCAAATACTTGGAAAGTACAAGCCAGGGGAAATTGAGTAAGCAAAGCATTCAATAGGAGAGATAGACCACAATTTCCATCTGTGGTTTGTTGTTAATGTGGTTTGTTGGAAACCACATGGAAAGCTTCTTGAAGGCAAAAATTATGTTTTGTTTATCATGGTGAGTCCAGTACTCCAACACTGTGATCTGCAGAATCCCACATACATTCTGTGAACAGTTTTATCTAGATATCTCTATAGATACATATAGCTCTACTGATATATACAGATAGACATCTGTATATGTATTTCTACATGTATATCTATATAGATATCTATTTATAAATCTATATAGGCGCTAAAACTATTTATACATATTATATGTTGACCTCAAGAAAAGTATAGCATTGTTTAAAAAGGACTAAATTGAAGAATATACACTCCATTGTCCTGATTGAACCTAGCTGTTCAGGGAGATTTTGAGGCTATCCAGAATATTGAACGGAGGATTCAGCACCCTTCCAAACTCTTAAAAGTTTTAGATATTCTGAAGGAATCCAGCATCCAAGCCTTTCCTAAGGGTCCCTAATAGGGATAAAGTCCAATGAGTACGTTAACTTGCTTTTTATTGGAAAAAGAGGAGCGGTCCCTTTGGAATGTTCAGTGTGAATAAACCACCCTGAAGTGTTCATGGGGTCTCATTAAAGTCTCCCAGGGAAGTAAGTGAAGGACTCAGAGGAACTAGCCTGGAATCTTAAATATGGTTCAGAGGCCAACTATGCCAGCTTAGAAATTCTCTACTCTCAAGGGCCTTTAACAACCCCAGAAAAAATGTTTTGGTTGTTTCTGATTTCAAGGTCAAGAACCCTGGAACTATGCCAATGTAGCACAGAGCCTGAAACTCAAATAAAAGGAAATGAAAGTGTACTGACCATATGGCCATAACAAGAAAAACACCAGGAATCCCATTGCTAATGGGCTTGTCCTGATACACATGTAACATGCTCTGTATATATCATGCTTGTTCTTACTTTCAGAAATTCTCTTCCTTGAAAATGGGAATTGTCTCCAAACTCACAGTATCTAATACACATCAATTTGTGTATTAAGACTTCAGGATAAGCACAGCTCTACTTAAGTCCATGAATTGCTACATAATATTTTTCAATATTAAGGGAATACAATGACCAATATATGTATTTCTTGTTTAAGAGTCCCTCACCTATCTACACCAATAGATTCATCTGTATTTGTTGTTTAAAAACTTGAACATACAGAACTAGCATGAGTTTCAGTGCATTTATGAGGTATAAAAACTTTGAATCAGCTATACACAGCTGACATTTTTCCACTCCTATCTGGAGGAAAATATATTCTCAGAATGTGACACACTAAAAATTAAATATAGCTCTTTTCTCCACCATTCCTTTCTACTGGACTGCTCACCCAAATGGCCACTGTCTCTGGTACCAAATGCCACTGCCCTCGTTTTATAATCTTTGTGCTACTGACTTCTTACTGACCTAGAAAAAGACTTCTTGCTTCCTTAGGCCTAAAGATTTCCTACTTGGATGTGCTCCCCACCACATACACACATAACTAAACACACATACACACACACACCAAGAAATCATGCTTATGGGACAGTCATAAGTCTTAGTATGCTCCAAAATAAGTTACCTTTTGGTTCCTACTTTAGGATTCTGAGGTATATCAATAGTGTTCAATATTGAATCATGCTTCACAGCCAATCCTAAGTCGGCTATGGCACAAGTTTCACATTTTTTTACTAAGATATTCTTTGATTTTATATCTCGATGAGCAATAGCAGGTTTACCTATGAATGACAAAAAAGCATATTCATATTTTGTTATTAAAGCTTGAACCTCCAAAATGAATTTTTTAGAACACTTGGCTCAAATGTCACCTCCCTGCAGAGCTCTTCCTGACCGCTCTTTCTGTATCCCGGGTCATTCTCCACCTGAATATCCAATTTTGCCTTTTTCCTAGCTCTTATCACTATGCAAATTACCCTGTTTATTCATATGTCTATTTCATTATCTGGCTATCTTCTCTAGACTGTAAGCTGCATGTGAGCAATGACTGCCTTACTTATCAACATGCCTTCTACACTTGGAACACTAGATGAGATTTGGTAGTTATAAATGTTTGTTGAACAAGGGGGGAAATATTTAGCAATCCTAAGTCCATATGAGAACATAGCAAACATTCTCTTACAAAACAACTTTCATACTATTACTACTCTAGACCAGCAGTTCTCAGGCGTGGTTCAAAAATCCCCTTTTTCAGCTACACATCGCATGATGTTACCTCTCTTCACATACTTCAACAAAATAAAATACCAGAACAGACTGAAGGAGGAACAGGTTTGAAAATTCACACATTAAGCCAGATATTAAAAAGATTTACAAAAACTAAAATAAAGCCGTTATTTTCACTGGATTGGTTTTGCATTATCAAAAAATAATGTAAAATTTTAAAACTGTTATTAACATTAATATTTTATTGGATAATTATTTTCAGTAAATTAATAAGTATTTTCTAATGTCTCAATTTTAATTTTTAATGTGATAAACATTAATGGATATAACCCACATATGGAGAAAACTTTGAGATCCTTAATAATTTTTAAAAGTTTAAAATTCCAAGTTTGAGAAATACTGATATCTTTCGACTAAAGGCTTTCTCAAGCCAGTTCTCTATTAACTGAATAAATAGAAAAAGACAGTAGGTATTGTTTAACCTTCACGTGCATGGCATATAAATATTTTTTGAGATTACATTACCAGTTACCATTTCCAATAATTTTCATTCTCAAAAGTAAACATTTAAAGTATGTATATTCTTTGAATATATATTTGACACAAAAACAAGATCTCCTTGGTATAAATGCTAAATGACAAAGATTGAACCAGTAAGAATAAATGTTACAGAGAACATACAAAATGATGAGTATATAGTAATGAGTTTTACCCTACTGTTACAACACATACAGCCTTATAAAATTAGCACTAAAATACAATTTACAATTTCTATTCTCATATGCCAAGAGAAAAATAGTACAAAGAAAACACATACCTTGCGTGCCAACAATTTCCATATGAAGATGGGCCAGACCACTGGCTATGGAAAGTGCCAATTTGATCATCCCAGCCACTGTCACTATGTTTCTATTCAAATAGTCATATAAGGACCCCTGTTCATGATATTCAGACACAAGCCAAAGTTGTGTCCAAGTTCCATTATCTAACAGGAAAAAATAATTTTGTGTTGTAAATATATGTTGCGAAAGAAACGAAAAACTAACAAATGTCAGTGTGTAAAGTATAATCTATATTGTTGACAAAATTAATTCCATCAGTGATCATACTGTTTAGTACTCAGTCTTCATACTTAATGTTTATTCAGTTTTAATACTGAGTTTAATAAAGTAAAAATTCTAATGAATTTCAAAGATGTTGCTATATTAGAACCTTTTATAGGTACCCACCTATAGGAAGCTGTGAGGCAGTGATTCTAACAGCTGAATAACTCCTTCCATTCTCCCTTTTTATCAATACAAGCTGGTAATAGCAGCCACATTACAGGAGAAATTACTGAGAAATGCATTAAGGCTGAGTGTTGTATTATAAATTACCCTGAGCTTTTAAGGAAGAGTGTACCAATAAAAAAAAGAAATAGAACAAATTTACACAAAGGATTATTACTAACATAAAAGTGCTAACATTCTAAGACTGTTCATATTATTTACCTTTCAAAATATGAAGTAAATGGTTTTCCCCAAAAGTTTATATTAAGTGCCAAATACAATTACCAGACGTTTTTAAATAATTTACCTCATTTAACAAAAAAGCTAAGCTAAGTGTTATAAAAGACTTTTAGCGGAAGAGAAATTAGTCTGAAACTTCTCTAGGTGTTAGAGTTCCCAGCGGTAGCTTTAACTTTTGAAATATAACATCTACAATAGATGGGCAGTCCTGAGCAGTTCTGATGCTCAGAGAAGGAAGCTATTACAAACATTTCCTTAGGACTTTTTCTACCATGTGCTTTATGTATAAGAGCTCCTTGTTACCTAAATATTTAATTTTCAAATCCAAATTTCCAAATTTTATCCAGTAGTGTTCCAATGTCTTAGGAGTGCAAAAATCAACGTAACTTGATAAACTGATCACCTGTAAAACTAACCCTTACAATTCTCTCCCTGTTTAGCACAAGTGGTTTTCTTTGTCTTCTAACTTAGATGTTTTTGCAGTTGACTAAAAAGTGAAATTAAATATTGTAAAAGATATAAAACTACATGAAGGTGAAGGTGATGTGAAGAGGTCATTTGTAACTATGTACAAAGCCACTGAAAAGTCATTGACAGAGGTAGGACAGTTAAATTGAAAAGGAATTCAAGGATGAACTGTCTTTTGCATATTTCTTATAATCCAATAAATATAATTACATTAACCCCATTAAGATGATCCATATAACTACAGTCATTGCTTATTTAACAACATTGCTAATTAATCTAACCAAGTAGTTAATTCAGTCTTAGGAAGGAAAAGAAAAAATTCTTAACCGTTTAATAAAAAAGGTCTTATTTTCAATTCTCTGGACATATTTTCAAGGTATATGTGATTAAGTATTTAGAAAGAATTTTTTTTAATTTTATACTGACTGACTTAGTTTCTCCCTAGTAAATCAGAAAAGACAAAATATTAGCAACCATAATTATGTGCAAAAATTATAATAATGGGCCTCCCCGGTGGCGCAGCGGTTGAGCGCTGGGTTGCGAAGCTGCCCGCAGCCTCTGCAGCGCTGGTTTGATCCCCGGCCGCCCGGGCAAGGGTCCCACATGGTGCGCAGACCTCTCCTGCCACCCGCTGCTCCCCTCAGCAGTGTACTTCAGTCTGCCTGCTCTGCTCCCCACTCTGGCTCTGGTGAATTCTCTCACCCTCCCGCGCTTCTGACTGTACCCAGTGCTTGCATAAATAAATAAATAAATAAATAAATAAATAAATAAATAAATAAATAAATAAATAAATAAATAAATCTTTAAAAAAAAAAAAGAATGCCAAAAAAAAATTATAATTATGCCAAACCTCTCTTTTGCCATCCAATTAATAATGAATACTTTCATAATCAAGCTTTTGTTAAATAAAAGTAACCATAGGTTTTTGATTCCATAGGTTACGGTAGGTCTCTAATATCAACAGATAACTTTATTTTAGATAGAGTTTACAGCCTCGACCAACCAAAGTTTATCATGAGTATTACTGATTCAAAAACAAATGGACTAGATCAAGTTTTTTTCACTTTTGTTTCCTATTCTTTTTGTTAATGGAACAAAGGCACAGTTAAATAAGTATAATTGTGTTATACTGCATACTCAGTGAGTATAAAGAAGAAAGAGAGCATAGGTAATTCACAAAATTTTCAACCAGCTCCTGATTACATGGGCATATATGTAATATTTTATGAATACTGATTTAAAAAGCAGAAAGTTGATGCTCTGACTTGCTCCATAAAACTAAGGAAGCAACTGTTTGGGGTTCTTAATGTTAAACTTCAAATATAAAAGCGCATACTCAAAGTACATTGATAGAAAAGTTCACTGAAATTGTCTTGCTTGCCACTCTTCTAATAATGTATGTTCAAAGAAAACTTGAGTCCTGAAATTGAGGCCTCTTATATAGATGGAAAATATAGTCCTAGCATCCATTGTATCTCCGTACGAATGAAATATTTCTGTCCTGATTGGATAACAGCTGCTATTCAAAACTCCTAATGACATTCATTTGCCCTAGACACCCCATTCTAGCCATGAAAATGTAATCATTGTGATTTCCTGTCATTCATTTGCCCTGCTTTATTGTGCACCTTTATCTGTGCAGAAGAGGAAAGCATTTTCTTTATTCAATAGAGAAGTTAGACTTTAATGCATATTTTATTAAAACAAAAGATTATGTATTTTCCTCTGATAACAGATACAACATTTTTACTTCCTGACCCCAGTAAGATTGAAAATACCTTTGTTGGGGCCTCCCTGGTAGCGCAAGAGGTTAAGCACTTCACTATGAAGCAATCCGAGGCCTCTGCAGCACAAGTTGGATGCCCGGCCGGCCAGGGAGCAACCTACATGGCACAGCAGACCTCTCCTGTCTCACTCGCTGCTCCCCTCAGCAGTGTATTTCACTCAGTCTGCCTGTTCTGTTCCCCACCCTGTCTCTGGTCAATCCTCTCACCTCCCACATCTCTGGTCTGTACCCCAGCTCTTGTATGCATAAATAAATAAATCTTTAAAAAAAAAAAAGAAAATACCTTTGTTGTCAGCAGCAATGAAACCAAGGATGTTTTCATGTCTCAGCATGACCGTCTGATAGATTTCTGCCTCTCGAAACCAAGATCTTTCATCTCTGGAGGAGAATATTTTCACAGCCACATCTTCTCCACACCATCTCCCATGCCATACCTCACCAAATCTACCTTTCCCCACTACTTCCTGAAGTACAATCGTCCTTGCAATGGTTCTTTGAACCAAAAGAGGGAGACCTATGTAAAGAAAGAATGCAGTTTATAATTAACTAACAAGTGCCAGATAAGAATGTTCATGATCACCACTATTTTCACTCAAAAAGCAAACATTTAAGGACTTTAATGGTTTTTACCACTATTGAGTAGATAACCGGTATTATTACTGTATGATTTATGTGAATGTCTCTTCTCATTTTCACAAATAAAAACTTCTTGAACATAGCCTGCTGCTGTAGATATCTGATTTTCCAGAATTGTTGCAAATCCTCCTGATTTTCCCATCAAAGTCAGTCAGGTTACTAAATACACAAGAGTTAAATATACATACAGTATTAGCTTCTAAAATAAAATGTATGGTTCCTAGAACAACTGGGTAAATGGAGGAATCCTTTGTGACATTTTTAAAATGAATTAAAATTGGGAAGTAAAGAATCACTCAATGAACAAGTAATCATGTTACATTAAAGACAAGGTACAGTTAAAAATATATCCAATAGATATTTTTTGTAGAATTAAATACTTCAACAAAACATTCTGAGGTCTGAACCTATTCTCCTAAGACATTTATGATGTTACAAACTATTGTTACCTCAAAAAATTGTTTTTAAAATACCATCTAATAGTTTGCTGTCAGTGATTAATAAGTCAACATTACAAAGCAAACAGCATCATTGTCAATAATAAAAAATAGCTATTATTGCCACCACCTCGGGCATCAAATTTCATCACATGTTAAAGTTTTTAAAGCGAATTCTGCCATTTTCGTGAGCCAAGAGAATCCTAATGGATTTTGACAAATAAAGACCCCAAACAGAAAAAAATCCTTGATGTATGTAAAATGTTTAGAGTCTCTGAATAATTCTATCTCTAAAATTCTACCCTAACGATTTAATGCAATGTATAGAAAAGTTTTTCTAAGTATTTATCAATTTATTATTTATAGGAAAAATAATCAAGTGTCAGATAAAAGAAAAACTGTCAACTCTAGTGCCAAAAGCACAGATAAGAAAGACTCAATTCACATTTCAGTCATGCCACTTGGTAGTAAGGGGAAAATTATTGACCTTTGAGCCTCAGCTTCCTTGTCTGAAGAACTGGAGATACTGATATTACATGATATGTTATAAGGCTAATATGAGATTTAATAAGAATGTTAAGCACTGACCGCAGTATCTGGGATACTACATGCTTCAATAATATTTAGTCTGTAATATTATGTCTCAAAAGGGTTACTTGGAAGCCAATAATGATGATGCTTCTTATGAGGAGGTATTTCATAATGATATGGGAAAATACTTTTGCTATAATGTGAATGAAAATAACATTTAATTGTATATAGCTATTCAAAAATATTTACAGGAAAAAGGTTAAAACAGATATATACTAAGTGCTTTGATTGTTACTCTATTTAGTGGAACCAGAACCAGAACTGTTCTAACTTTATACATTTTCTTAATTTCCACAAAGGGCATTTATTATTCTTATAATTAGAGGGAATGATTAAAGAGGATACAGTATAGATTTATCCTGGAAAGTCAAGTTACTGTCATTGTACTGAAATGGCTGGTAATAACCTCATAGCAAAAGTCTTGTGAACTTGGCATACTTTGGCCTCTGTTCTGAAATGAGCTACGGTTTATTCAGATGTTCTCACCTTCATGAGAACCACCCACTATGGTGAAATAAGCACAGACTATAAGTATGCTGTTACATGTCTTGACAATTAGTCACATAGCCCTATACCAGAAAGGTCTGAGATCATCTGATTCAACTTTATCACCTCAGAGATGAGAGACTTGCCCAAGAATATACTGCTAGTGGGAGGCAAACCTGCAACTAAATTTCTGGTCTTCACACTCTTTCTTTCTCCCCACTCAATGGATTGACTGTAGTCTTCTCTTGGGAAGACTTCCAGCAGCAAACTATAAAAGCTGTTTTTGTAGGCTGCAGACAATTTTCCTACATACAATAAAAGTTGTACTAACAGCTATTAGACCAAATTGCAATCTCCATCTTTCTTCTACCTCCCCTATTTTGCACACACACTCACAAAAACATTACTGCACCTACTGCTGCCAACAACAATTTGCTAGAGAACTAGCTAAGCCAACGTTTTCAAATTGCTAATTGATCAAACACAAGATCAATGCAGCAGACCAGGGACAAAGATAACATCACCTAAAGTATTCAGCACAGCAATTAAGTCCAGGCAGTCAACTCAATGAAAGATGCTTCAATATCTGTTAAAGCACAACTCAAAATCTCAGTAATTCTTGCGTTACACAGTTAAGAGACTTCATTGAGGATATATGGGCTTTGCCTTCCCCTCTAGGTTCATTTTCTTCATTTTTATCAAGGGATGTAGAACCTGATGCCAGTCTTATGGAAAGGTACCTTTCAGCAATGTCACCATTTGTCAGAAGTGTTATAACACAAGAGGAAAGCAGCGACCTACCCTGTCTCTTAGAAACCACCTGAGACAGAATCTATTCTCAGGGATAGTCCAGTGAAATATCAGTTCATTTTCTTCTCTTGCAGGCATTATGTCACTTTGAAGTTTGTCCTTGACCTAGGCAGGAATAAGCCTCACAATTTTTGTTTTTCAACATCTGACAAAGCTGCTTCTCCATTGAAAGTGCTGGCCAATTAAGAGTAGCAGAGGGGTAACAGATCAGCCTGCTTTCTTTCCTGTGGGTGAGAGCTTTTGTGACAAGCGTCACTGCCAATAGACCCATTCTCTCTGATTATCAAGGGTGGTGCAGACATCAGTTACCTTTAGCCAGTGATCACTGCCAAGCATTTGTAGTTGGCTTTGGGTGAAGTAACTAAAACTCTTTCATATTGGTTCTTAATGAAATCATCCATGCCTGGTACATTTAGGGCTTTCTTTTTAAGAAAGATCTTAGAATAATCTAAAGAGGAGAGAATCTAGCCATCAATAAGTCCAGATTTAGGTTTAAGATACACAAAAACACCAAACAAGTTTCTTAATTTTTTATTTTATGCCCTGCCCCATGATTGTTTACTTACACTAAATATCCAGTCCCTGGTTTTAAAAATCTTTATTACTCTTATTGGAAAGGGAAAACGTTAGTCACCCTAGTTATATTTGAGGAGTAGCTCCAAATACATATCTCTCCCTAACCTCTTCAGCTAAAGTAAAAATTCTGTGTGGGAACTAAATAATGGTTATCTAATCACCAGAATCTATAAAGAAATTATTAAGGTTTCAAGGAACTTGGCACAAATTAAAGCTACAGTAAATTCTTACTGTGTGCCTAGTATGTTGCCGGTACATTTGGGGTCTCAGTGGGCCCCCAAAAGTAATATGCAAAGAAAGGAAAAAATGCTGAATCCAAACAAGAGTTACTTTTAAACAGAGGGTGCTGGCTTCCCATCCAATAATTGAATTTGGATGTCAGTTTCATAAACTTTGCCCTTCGGAAATATTCTTTTTTTTTTTTTTTTTTTATAGAGGCATGCTTTATTTATTTGTTTGCTGGTTTGTTTGTTTGTTTTGTTTATACATGCACTGGGTACAGTCAGAAGCGCGGGAGGGTGAGAGAATTCACCAGAGCCAGAGCGGGGAGCAGAGCAGGCAGAAGGACCGAGGTACACTGCTGAGGGGAGCAGCGGGCGGCAGGAGAGGTCTGCACGCCATGTGGGACCCTCCTCTGGTGGCCGGGGAGCAGCCGGGGATCGAACCGGCGCCGCAGAGGCCCCGGGCAGCTTCGCAACCCAGCGCTCAACCGCTGCGCCACCGGGGAGGCCCCCCTTCGGAAATATTCTGTCCAACATTCTGCCATTGAAAACATGTCACTTAATTTATGCAGTAATGGGATTAAACATTTAGACTTCAGTCAGTGAGGGGGCAGGTGATCTTGCCTTAAAAGCAGCAAATATTCTCTGGTGGCATAATTGGGCTTCTCTTTTCTGATGAATACTGGGGAGCCCAAATCTGCTTCATGTTAAATATGGATGCTTATCTAGATTCTGTCACCACTCTGTCATCTGCCCCTGTAAGTTGTGTTTACCAGGATGTTCTTGGAGGTTAGGGGGAGGGGAGTTCCTCAAATTTTATTTGGGGTAATCATCCTCAAAGATCTTCCCAGTCCAGAGTGTATTTCTGAAGTGGATCATGCAGGTTTACCTGAGTTTGCACTACTCTAAACACTGTGCTGACAGGATTTCTGGAAATATAATGAGAACAGGGGACTGTCTACCATTTTAAGGAGTTTGTTATCACAAGGGATATTGTGTCTGGTGTGTCTGGTGTATGATATTGTGTTCTGGTGAGAACCCCCCAAAACCCTCAGATGCCTTGTGCTATGATAAAAGCTCATTTAGGCCTTTTAAATTGCTATTTAATTGCTTCACCGGGAGTTCTAGAGTTCTCTTAAAGACGAAGAGAGTCATCATATAACCTTAGCAACAAAGCAAGCACAGCAGTGCTGTGCTACTCTCTTTAATCTCTCATGTCTATGCTGTAAGAACATAGTTTGGATTTAATTTCAGGTCATCTCCCTGTTAACTTTTCACACACATCCCGGGAGCTGCCTACAGATTCCAAAGGCCTTCATCACCACAAACAAAGCTGCTCTAAGATTTGGTAAAAGGTCTTTTCCCCAGAACTCAACTCCTTAAATACAGTAACTCTTCTGTGACCATAAGCCATTATCAGGAGAATACAATGATCTGGGACTCCCCGGTGGCGCAGCGGTTGAGCACTGAGTTAGGAAGCTGCCCGCAGCCTCTGCAGCGCCAGTTCGATCCCCAGCTGCTCCCCGGCCACCTGAGGAGGGTCCCGCATGGCGCACAGACCTCTCCTGCCACCCGCTGCTCCCCTCTGCTCCCCACTCTGGCTCTGGTGAATCCTCTCACCCTCCCGCGCTTCTGACTGTGCCCAGTGCTTGTATAAATAAATAAATAAATCTTTTTTTTAAAAAAAGAGAGAATACAATGATCACTACTAACTACTATGGAGGAAAAGGGAGAGGAGAAAAAAATCTTTCTTGCTTCAGAAATAAATTCTGAAGGAATGTGGAAAAGAGGATCTGAACACCTAAAGGCACAAAAGAAATTGAGAACACTGAATTCCTAGGCTAGGACAGCTTTTTCTCTTCATCAGATCCTAAAAGAAGTTTCTATGCTAAACTTTGCCATGTACCATACCAGGCATTTTAAATGATGACATTCATAATATCTTGACCTCATTTATTAAAATTTGTTTTTATGTATTTTAAAATAAAAATTTTCTATTGAAAAAATGGACAGTGGACACATACCAGAGCCAGATCCAGAGGCAGTCACATCGTAAATCAGATCTTTTAGTGATTTCCCAGCATTTACCAGATTGCATTCAGAGAGGGGTTCCTCCACATTCTGTCTCTTTTTCTTTCTGTATGTGCACTGTCGGCCCTGGCATGCCCATATTGTCAGCACTGCAGCTATGGACAGCAGGCACACTGGCACAGTAATAACCACAGTCAGCTCCATGGGTCCAAGTTTTGGGGCATTTGGTGAAGCTTTAGTTAAAAGAAAGAAAGAACATGACCATAAATCAGCTCATTTAAAATACTTTAAAAATTAGAAATGCAGTCCCCCAAGTTTCACATCTATGATGTAACTACACAGCGTGCACTTATGAGAGTTCGTAAAGACTCTATGGGATAAGCAGAGACGGGGAAAGGGAATTGCATCTGGGAATGGTTTTGCCAATGGGAGACAGGATTGAGAACATAGAAAGCACTAGCACATGGGATCTTTTTTCAGACCTCCACAACATTTGAAATATTGCTATTATCTCCCCACATTTTAGCAGCCAATCCTCAGAATACCTTTAATTCATACCAGGAATGATTGAGCTCCTGCAACGTGTTACTACTATCCCAGGTGTTGGACATATATTGATGTGAGTGAGAGAGCCCAAACCCTTGCTCTCATGGTGTGCATGTTCCTTTTTTTCTTACATCATTGTTCATTTTTATAGAATGTTATGATTTCTCCCTTTAGTTGTAATCCCCATAAATCTCCCACTACCACATCATCTGTAAACTGTCACCATAGTCCCTTAACGCTCTTCTCTCCCCTGTTTTGACCTCTCTCCCTCCCCCTGCCCCACTGTATGTCTTGGATTTATAATTTTTCCCTCTAGTTTTGTCCTTTTATTTTCTGACCCTTTGTTCAGTTTCCCTATATTTCTCCTATAAGTACCATCAGATATTTTTCTTTTTCCTTCTGACCTATTTCACTGAGTATTATCCCTTCCAGCTCCATTCATGTTGCTGCAAATAGCATGAGTTTATCATTTTTTATTGCTGTGTAGTATTCCATTGTGTATATGTACTACATCTTCTTGATCCAGTCATCTGTTTTTGGGCTTTTAGGTTGTTTCCATAGCTTAGCTAATATAAATAGTGCTGCAATAAATAGAAGAGTGCAGGTTTCCATTTGAATTTATGTTTTTGTGTCATTTGGGTAGAACACTAGTAGGGTCATGGGGGGGGGTCATACGGTAGCTCCATTTTTAGTAATTTGATGTTCCGCCATACAGTTTTCCATTGTTGGATCAGTTTGCATTCCCACAAGCAGTTAAAGGAGTTCCTTTTTCTCAACATCCTCACCAGCCATTTGTTGTTGCCATTTTTTTTTTTTTATATTGGCCATTCTCACCTGCAGCTTATTGTGGTTTTGATTTGCATTTCCCTGATTATAAGTGATGTTGAGCTTTTTTCATATACCTGTTGGCCATTTGCATTTCCTCTTTGGAGAAATGTCTTTTTAGCTTTTCTGCCCATTTTTTGACTGCATTGATTGTTTTTGTTGAGTTGTGTGAGCCCTTTGTAGACCTTTGAAACCAGTTTTTTACCAATTGAATGGAGTGCAAATATTTTCTCCCAACCTGTAGTGTGTCTCTTCATTTTAGTTATTGTCTCTTTCGCTGTACAGAAGCATTTTAGTTTGCTGTAATCCCAGCTGTTTATCTTTTCCTTTACTTTTTTTGCTCCTGGAGATGAGTCCTCAAAGATGTTTCTGAGGTGTTTTTCCTATGTTTTCTTCTATATATTTTATGGTTTCAAGTCTTATATTAAATCTTTTATCCATTCTGAATTGGTTTTTGTGTATGGTGTAAGGCAGTCATCTGGTTTCATTCTTTTGCATTGTAGTGGTTCAATTTTTCCAGTGGTGCTTATGTTTTTATGCACCCACTCAAAAGATGGATATGCAATAGGAAAGCAAGAGAGGATAAATGCTTTGAAGAAAAATGAATTCAAGGAAGTATATAGAGTGATGGCAGGATGCTACTTTAGATAATGTCAGGGAGCAACAATAGAATTCAGGGAAGCATGTTCTTGGCAGAAGAAAAGCAACTGTAAAGGACCCTGAGGTAGTGGCCTGCTTAGCCTATTCAAGAATAGCCTGTGTCAGTAATGCAATAAAAGAAGAGAAAGATAGAAGGAAATGGGGCAGAGAGATAAAGAAGAGGAGCATAGTGTGGGGTTTTGAAGGCTAACAGAAGGACCGGAGTTTTACTCTAAATAGAAGCTGTCTCAGGATTTTAAGCAGGCAGATGTTACTTTTATTCTAAGAGTGAGTGCACTGTGTGAATAGATACCGGGGCTGCAAGAACAGCAGCAAAGTGGCCTGATGTAGTGACCCAGGCAGGAGATGGTCTTGGCTGACAACCATATCTAAGATGATACTTCCTTCTCATTCCCTGCTCACTCTCTCTACACTTCTCCCATTTTATTTTAATTTTGAGAACTTATCACCTGGCATATCACACATTTGTTTATTATTTAAAGAACACTGGCTTCATGTGAAGCTTTGCTGCTTTCTCCCAACTCTATCCCAGGTGTTTACAATGGCAGATGATCATGAGATAGCTTTTGAATGGCAGAATCATTAAGTTTCTACTAACTTTGTTCTTAGTCAATTAGATACAAGGTTTTTAGTTTTAGAAAAATATATATGGTAATTGAAACCAATTAAGTTAAGGATGTAATTGAAGTGTGAGTCTTAATTTTGAAGCACACATAGCCAATTTTTTAAAAGTTCACCTTGCTCTTAAGAAATCTTTCTTTTTAATTTAGAGAAAATAGTGGTACATGAAAAAGTCTATGACAGATATTTCCTGTGTTTTTCAAAGAAGTTATATTGACATTTGAATGAGCACATGATTCATTTTCTTTTCATTCACTAAAGACAGCCTCAGCATCAAATTTATTTTATCCAAGTGCTACCATCAACAGCATTGATTTTTGTTTTTAATAGAACTTGGAGAGTATTTGATAGAATATGGGAATTTAGTTCTGCAATCTCAGATTCTCAAACTTTCAGGAGAACTTGGAAGGACACAACCTTGATTCTAATAGAGGGCTGCCACTTCCTTGATATGTGACTATTGTCTGTAGGTAAACTGCCCCCCATCCAGCTGACTCCGCTGAGACCAGAGAGAGAGGTTAAAGAAAATTCATGGAAAGCAGGAGCATAACATCTATCCCTTAGTGTCTAAACAGATGACACTGACAATGGATCTTGTGAGTGAAGCTACATCTCAGACCTTCTTCTTTGTAACGAAAATCCTAGAGAGCTTATTATAATAAATGGATTCATATTTTATTTACAATATGCAACCAGAAGATCTGGCTATAATTAAATGTGTGTGTGTGTGTGTGTGTGTAATTCTAAAGGAAAAAGAATCCAATTCCTCAAAAATGTGTTCATAGAAGTTTCACTATAATTCTAAAAATAGTTTATTACTGATGAATAAAAGGATTTAAAACTGCTGGGTGAACTTTGGAAACAAACATAACCCATGCTCTTCTATTTTACCTAGTGAATTTTGACATATATCCAAACTTCTTTCTCCTATGTTTCAGGATTCCCCTGAAAGTTATACAGATGCATATGAGGAGAGCTTGGTCTTGAGTGCTAAGTGCTAAAAAAAGTTCTCTGACTTGATTTTGCCTTAGAAGTCATTAACTATGCTACTTGCTACTTTCAAATTGTGTTATTATAAAAGGGTTTTATTCTCCATTTCATAATGAGCATTCAAATCTACATTTCAAGTTGCATCTAGATTTTTTATGTCTTCACAATGGTATTCTACAAATTCTAAGAAAGCCACAAAATAACTTGCAACTTACATAAACATCTACTTAAGCAAGCTTTTAAAAATAATATTCTACTATCAGATACATTCACATGGCTAAATTTCTTTTGCTATAGGTTCATAGCAACTATCAATACAAACATTACAGTGGAAAGCTTACTGACTGTCCTCATTTTAGTAAAGCCCTATTAAGCAGAGCTCTAATCATCACTGTGGCAACTGATGAAGAGGCCAAAGGTCAGCAACCCTGAAAATATAATAATTTCCATAAAGTACACTGTTCTAATGATGGCTACCACTCTCAGGGATGTTTATTATAGATGGGCACTGTTTCTAATTTTGTAAACAAATTTACTGATACAATTCAGTAAGAAAAGATGACTCAGCTAGAAAGGGCCAGCAACACTATCCATAAAGACCTCATGAAACACTGTGCAATTTTTAAAGCAAACATTTATATAACTATCATCTTCTAAGCCAAATGTTGATTGTAATATCTACAGGAGATAAATGAAGAAAAACTGTGGTCTATACCCATTGAATCATGATAGGAGATAGTAGTGCCATTAAGAATACATTTTAATAAGTTACCTCTGATAAGCTATCATTTTTTCTAGCATGTTTTATTTTCTTGATCACAGGAGACACATTATTTGACCATTTTCCATTTTTCAGATTATCTGTGCCAACTGAGATTCATTCTCTATGGAATGAGCAACTCCATGTGGGGATGTGTTAATTCCAAAATTGAGGTCTGGGGGGTGAGTAGTTCACTGCTGATTGAAGCTATTTCACTTTCACTCCCTAGCAAATTAAATAAAGAAAATGGGGGGAAAAAGAGACAAAAATACAGTGACCATATCTGAGGGGAGAAATCATATATTGTCCAAAAATTAACAATGATGTAAGAAAAAAGTACTACATTCAAAAATGTTTTTTAAAAAATACTAGGCCAGAGGGGTGAGGACCCATTCACAAATATCTCCCCTGCATAAGCTCTGCAATACATAAAGCCACAATAACACAGGGAAAGGACATATTAATAAGGCAGGGAGAAAGGAATAATGTCCAAATGAAGTGGAGGATTCTGGAGAGTCATGTGAAAGGCAAAAGACTAGAAGAAGTTAAGGCAAGACCAAAAAAAAAAAAAAAAAAAAAAAACAGAAAGGAAGGAGGGAGGGAAGTTTAAAAAACTGTGAATTTTGCAACTTTCCCTAGAGGCCTGAGTGCAACTGGTGGTGGTGAAAGTCAATGGTCGCCATTCTCCAAATAAAGGTCAAAACTAGTTTAGATGCCTCAGCGTCCCGTGCTGGTCTTTACTACAAATATCAAAAAATGTTAATGTTTATGAGACTTATATAACCTTCAAATTAATGAACTGGTATTTCTTTTTTGTAAAGCTTTTCAAGG